CAGAGAGATTCAAAACCCAATAAAATAACATGCTTATATGATAACACAAAAAGCCAAATCTCAAAACCATACCAAAGATGCTTATTACCAAACGGAATTTGAACTTTTTCTTTATTTCATGTTAATAAGAACTAAATGTGAACTATAGTTTTATACCTTCAACACCAAGATATATAAACTAATCCACCAATGGAATCAATAAAATGACTGACTTGTGAAAGGCCAACAAACATATCTGAAACAAAGGGATAAAAACTATGAAAATAAGGAAACTTGTAACGATAACGATATTGACTAGTTTCAGAAATTCTAACAATACTTAGAATTATTCATGTCAGAAACTGATGATGGATTTGATGAAATTATGCAGTTCTGACAAGGCCATACTTGATGGAACACTCAGATAAAAGCCATTGTTAATAAATTCATTTATGGTAAACAGACTACCAATGAAATCAGTGGTTCTCAACCTTTTTTTTTACCCATGGACCATTTTTCTTCTTAATTTGTTTAATTATATGATGAAAAAAAAAAAAAAAAGTCATTTTAATTTTTACTAATAAAGAAGTTAAAGAATTGTATTTATGGTACAGTGTAACCCAAATATAAGAGACCCGGATATAAGAGAAACCCGGATATAAGAGATTTTCACTGGTCCCAAATTGTTCCCATACTTACCTAAACAAAATAGACCAAACCCGGATATAAGAGAAACCCGGATATAAGAGACTTCTTCTCCGGTCCCGACAACTCTTATATCCGGGTTACACTGTACCATTTTACGCACAGTGTAACCCGGATATAAGAGAAACCCGGATATAAGAGAGATTTTCTCTGGTCCCAAATTAGAGCCTGTGTTAATGTATATAAAAGACCAAACCCGGATATAAGAGAAACCCGGATATAAGAGACTTCTTCTCCGGTCCCGACAACTCTCTTATATCCAGGTTACACTGTATAATAATGGATATCGGCTCGGATTGAGGAATTAGAGAGCCGAGTTTGAATTTTAGTCACTTAGGTGCTAATACCCTTGGAAAGATATTAATCCTCTTCTTCTCTCCTCAGCTATGGATAAATATCAGGACAGACTGACCACTGACAATTCCTTTCTTCACTATTTGCAACACATTCCTATAGTAAAATCATTAGCAATGCATTTACATTATACATATAATAGCCCTATTCTATCAGTAATGCTTGCATTCATTCCTGACCACTGACAATCCCTTTCTTCCTCATTTGCAATGCATTCCTATAGTAAAATCATTAGCAATGCATTTCCATTATACATATAATAGCCCTATTCTATCAGTACAATGGAGTAATGGATAGCGGCTCAGATTGTGGAATCTGAGAGCCGAGTTCAAATTCCAGTTGAATCCATTACATTCACTTACTTGCTAATGTCCTTGGGAAAAGTATGAATCCTCTTCTTCACCTCCTAGCTATGGGTAAATAGCAGGACAGACTGGGTTCTATATCCTTGGATGGCAACTGGTCTACCGCAAAAAAGAAATGGCAAACTACTGCGGGAAAAAATCTGCTTCGTTAGTCACATGGCACATAACTGACTGATTATAGTAATAGTAAATGTATATGCTTCTTTTCTACATAATCATTATATAATTTATATATTAATTTTATTATTGATATTTTTTTTTTTTCTTATATTTTATATTAATATTCTATTTTATTCATATTTAAAATTAATATTTATTATTAATGTATTAATTTATATAATAAATTATAATCTTTATATATATATATATATATATATATATATATATATATATATATATATATATATATAATCCTTTTATATATCCTCAGTTTTTATTCAACATTTACAATCAAAACATCCAGTAGAATAAAAGGGACACTAAGTTACATTGTTTTATCTAAATTTCTACTAGTTGTAGAGTTGTTTTTCTATTTTTAGTATTTCAATTTGGCAAAGAAATTCCAATTCTTAGTTGTAACAACCGCTCTGAATAGAAATTGCTCTATGGACCACTAAAATATTACGTTAGACCCTCAATCTGCTATTTTTTCGTGTGGACCTCCAATAATGTTACATGTACCCTGGTTGAGAACCACTGAATTAAACTTTGATAATGTATGTCTTTATTATCAGCTATGTTCAAATATACACATAATAATTAATCACAATTACCAACAATGAGTCAAAGAACAGAACTGGCACCTAATGTTACTTTAATGGTGGTTGGTCCACCAACCTTCAAAGAAACAGAACAAAGCCAGTCACTGGATAACAAAGTTTGACCCTTTAAAGAAACCCTGACCATTTAAACAGATGTTACAATGCCAATACCAAATTTGACTATTTAACTCATTACTGATTTAATTGGTTTTTGTTAGCAAAAATTATTGACGAAAAATAAGATGTGTACTAAATGGATTTATACAATCAATATTTCCGAATATTATATTTTTTCTCTCAGCAACACATGTATTTATTGCAGACCACTGACAATCCCTTTCTTCACCATTTGCAATGTATTCCTATATTAAAATCATTAGCAATGCATTTACATTATACATATAATAGCCCTATTCTATCAGAAATGCTTGAATTCATTCCTGACCACTGACAATCCCTTTCTTCCTCATTTTCAATGCATTCCTATAGTAAAATCATTAGCAATGCATTTCCACTATAGATATAATAGCTCTATTCTATCAGTAATGTTTGCATTCATTCCTGACCTCTGACAATCCCTTTCTTCCTCATTTACAATGCATTCCTATAGTAAAATAGCAATGCATTTCCATTATACATATAATAGCCCTATTCTATCAGTAATGCTTGCATTCATTCCTGACCACTAACAATCCCTTTCTTCCTCATTTGCAATGCATTCCTATAGTAAAATCATTAGCAATATATATTATAGATATAATAGCCCTATTCTATCGGTAATGCTTGCAACAACATACATATTAAGTTCCAAAATTTTCTAAAACAAATCTTAAGTCAAAATCATAAAATTCTACTTCTAAGCCCAAATATTTATTGATTTTATTTATAACCATGTGACTGAGCTTCACAGTTTGCTTTCTTAATAATCATGAATAAGCAATCCATGAATGGGTTATGAAAAGATCCTTTGAAGGTGGGTCAACATGTATTGTTTCTACTCTTTTTGCTTATCTGTTTATATTTCTGAAATGTGGTATTATGTATACTATTTACATTGTTCGGACTATTGTCCTCATATTTGTTGCCATATTTATCCCAACGTTTCAGCCATTGTACACTCCGGCCTTTTTCAGGTGGTTGGAATGTTGAACTGAACCCTTTATTTCGCTCACTGGGGTAGACTGTTCTAGTTCCACATGCCATGTCTAATGGATGTCAGTTATTAGTTATCTCCTATTAATTTCCCTCTCCAAGTTCTCCACTATTGAACTCACACTCTTTGGGTTCTGTCACTGGATCTAATCAACACCCTTTTCCACTGTGCCATGTGTCCTTGAGGACAACTGTGTATGAATTTCTGGGACTTATAAACCTAATGTCTTCAGCAACCTTTTTTTTTTACCAGTGCTCATATTGCAATTTTTGCTGTTATCATTGCATGGCACCTGGAACTAGATGAGGACGATAGTCCGAACAATGTAAATAGCGTCTTTTGGTGTATCTCGGAATATTTCCAGCAAAATAGATAAATATATAATAATATTTGCTATATCTGTTCAGATACTAAGTTTTTCACCCTTTTTATATTTTTATTATATATTCAGATTAAGTTTTTGGGTGTGGGAGGGGGCTGTCATATCAAATTATTGGAAGTTGAGTGTCAAAGAAGACATCAAATCAAATGACAGCAAAAAAAAAAAAAAAAAAATACATACATATATATAATAAAAAGAAAGAACAGTAAGATATATAATCCGGTGTTTTTATTGGTATTTTTTATTTTTATACAAAACAGTGCTCAATGTAAGTTTACAGAGCATAAATATTATAAATTAACCGATTTAAAATATGGTTTCTTCACTACACAGTAATAACCATGTTTCAAAAACTAAAGCGAAAAACTTCAAATTTAATTATATAGTTAAATTTGAAGTTTCTAGCTTTGGTTTTTGAAACATGGTTTATTACTGTGTAGTGAAGAAACCATATTTTAAATCAAATATATATATATATATATATATATATATATATATATATATATATATATATATATATATATATATAAATAAACCCCAACATGAAAAAAAAAACTGACCCATGAAAAGTACAAGGATTTATGAAGATGTCTTTTTTCTTTCTTTTTTTTTGTATGACATTTTTTATGACAAAAAAAAACCCCCAAAAAAAACAACTTTTTTTGAAATCTAAGAAAAGTTTGAGTGACAGCACTTCACAAACGTTGTTTGTTTCTATATCATGGCCTATCAACACATACTAGTCATTTCATGCTGAAAAGTATATTTTTGTTGAGTTAAATGCTTTTGGATAAGATAAAAAAAAAAATCTAAGTGTTTTGCCAGATTGAGCAAATTGATAATCACTGGTTTCTGATAAAATGGAATCCATAATTACACAATAATGAACAAAAAAGTTTGCTTTCATGTCAAGGCCTTTATTTTCTCTTTCTATGAGAGTTGCAGAAATAAATCTATTTCTTGTATTTCAGTCAATTTTGAAACAATGGTAACAAAAAAAAAAAGGAAAAAGAAGTAAATTCCCAAAACAGAAACAAAAAAATAAAGAAATAAAATCCAAAAAAATAGAATGAAAAAAAAAAAAAAAAGAAAAAAAAAGAAAATCACTATAAAAAAAAAGAAAGAGAGAAGAAAAAATAGCCTAAAAAATTTCTATATTGAGATGAATTACAATTGGGTGTTGAAAATATTTATGGTCAGATTTTGGAATGTGGGCCAGGCTGAGAACTTTTCAGCAACCTCTCCATATGTTGTGTCCCCCCACCCGCTCCAGCCCTCTATAATATAAAACCGACACTTACCACATTGATTTTGATAGCAGCTAAATCCGAGACAGGATCAACCAACAAAACTTTTCCCTCGACTTTTGTTCCATCTTGAAGTTTAACGATTACCTTGTGCCGATTGACAACAACATGTGCATTTGTTAAAATCAGTCCATCTTCTTTCACAATGAATCCAGAGCCATTTGATAAAACAGTATAATATGGATGCCTAGACAAAATGAAAAAGTAAGAGTTTAATAAGAATGCATATTTCAATAATGCAATAAAAACAGGCATTAAAAAAGGAGGTAAGAACAAAAAAGTTTGAAATTACTAGAAAGAGGGAGAAAGAGAAAGAGAGAAAGGGAAAGAGAAGAGAAAGAGGGAAAGAAAGAGAGAGAGAGGGGAAGAGAAAGAAGGAAAGAGAAAGAGACAGGGGAAGAGAAAGAGGGGGGAAGAGAGGGGGAAGAGGAAGAGAGGGGAAGAGGAAGAGTAAAAATAAGGAAAAAGAAAAAACTTAATGTTTTATTTCTCCTCTCACATCAGAGCTTTATCAAAAATTGGAAAATGTGAAAAAGCAAATAAATTCAGAAACACCAAAAATAGATCTTTGCATATATGTATACGGAAGAATGTATGTTCATCCAATTCGATATTTGTGATTTTTACCCAGCTATCATTGAAAATCTGCTGTCTACCATCAATTTAGCTAAAGATTACTGTCCTATTAGTGATAACAAGATCTAAATCATAAAGCAGGTACAAAAACCTATGTTATACCATAATGGTTGTCTGTGGACTAAAAGAAACAACACAATTTAATATTGCTATGTGTGTGTTTGATTCTGCTATGGCATGCAAGCTAGTTGCAATTTTGTTATTGTGGCAATTAAGATTTCTTTTTGACATTAAGGACACCAGACTTTATAGAGATGACAGTGTAATTCTCCCCTGTAAAACAAATCAAAGAAACAGTCTCATTGAGAACGGAACTGATTAAATTCTTCAAAGATCACAAACTAAAAATTACCACAACCACAAATGCTAAAGTGATCAACTTTCTCAATGTGACCATGGACTTGTGTACTGCTTATTACAAACCATATACCAAAGCCCTACACAACCACAAATACATTAACAATGAATCCAATTATCCACCTACTATTTTAATTATTTTTCATAAATCCATCCAAGTTAGATTATCTATTAACTCCTGCAATAAGGAAATATTTGATAATAATAAAATTAAATATATAAAAGCATTAGAACTAAGTAACTATAAAGTAAATATAGAGTATTTAGAAAAAAAAGACCCCACTTATAATTATAATCTTCAAATGAATATTGTAAGAATTTTCGTAAATTTAATTCATAAACACTTTAATCACTAATATCAAAGAAGATTTTTTTTAATAAAAATAATGTAAAGATCAGCTATAGGTGCATTAGAAACATTGAAAAATCAATATCCTATCATGATTGTTAATATCATTAACATTATAGTTATCAATCCTATGCAAGTGCAATGGCCAAAAGCCATTTTCAGCTAAATATATCTGAGAAAAACAACTGGTTTAGATAAAAGACAATAGTGTGGGAATACATTGGAGAAAGCAAGACTTGGTCTTAAAATAAACAATCTCTTAAACAAAATTCCCAGCCCAAAGCATTAAGCAAAGACAAAGGACATTGTAAACTTTATCATGAATCATTTGAATTGTCTTTTAACATCCCTGAGTAATTTAACAGGAGTGTATAAGAATAAAATTTAGAAAACTAAGTCAATGTTTATAAGGATTACAAAAAAAAAAAAAAAAAAAACTTATAGACAACCGTGGACTGTCTAAGTACAAAAAAGAAATGACTAAAAAGCAAAATAAAAAAAAAAAATTTTTAAAGCTGACTTGGCTGCTTGACACATCAATTTTCCTCCCCTCCATGTTGCCTTGTGTGAAACTTAGTAAATATCAAGACCATGGCCTACAATTTAGAGATTTGATTTCTTTGTAAAAAAAAAAAAAAAAAAAAAATTTTTTTTGAATAGGTTTAAAAAATTTCTCCCTGACCCTTCTACACTTCTGCAGTAGTATTGAACTTGACCTACCCAGCAATTGCAAACAAAGTCAATCAATTTTAAGGTTATCAGGGCCTGTTCTAGTTCCTCTCTAGGGAAGGGAAGAAAACTTAACCATATATTTTATTTTCTATCAGCTACATGACAAGAGTATATACAGAGTGCGATGGATAAATTGTCGCCATTTTATATTTTTTAATTTCATGCATGCATATTGTTTGTCTTTGATTTTATCAACTGCACAATATAGTAGGGTCAGTTGGGCACCATACAGTGAGAAAAAGAGCATCATAACACAATTCACTCTGCCATAAATTTGGAAATGACATGCTGTACTGCTTGGCATTTATGCTGGCAGCTCCAATACAAACATTTCTGAGGACAGTGCAGAGAATTTGGAAAGAGTAGAATGATATATCCAGTCAACATCATGATGTTTGGAGTGATCACCAGTGATGGCAATGCATTCATCTTCCCACACGGACTCAGAGTCAACACAGAAGCCTACGTCAAATGCCTTGAGGAGAAAGTACTGTCCTGGGTCAAGAGGGTTGCTGCTGGAAGACCCTATGTCTGACAGCAAGACTCTGCACCATGCCACACAAGCAAGAGAATCCAGTCATGACTGTCAGACAATTTCTGCAACCACATCACCCCCTTACATCTGGCCACTTAACACCCAAAACTGTAACCCCCTTGATTATTATGTGTGTGGTGCAGTTGAGCAAGAGACTAACTCCATATAACGCCAAAGATGAACTGAAGTCAAGAATTATGACAGCATTCACCAACTTAAACATGAAGACCATCCAGAAGAGTTGCAGAAGGTTCCGAACTAGTCTTGAGGTTGTGGTTGAAGCCAATGGCAACTTTATTGAATAAATTTACTCTTTAGAATTTCCAGATATTTTTATGTAATTTTGGTAAATATATCTGTTAAAATGAGATGTCAGTGTTATTTTCATTTTTTGCATAATTTAGATGACAATTTATTCATTGTCCTTTTTAAATATACTTTGCAACAAAGTCTCTTTCTTTTTTTTTAAAAATTAAACAAATAAATTTGACTACTCATATCAAGGAAAGCTACCCCCACTCCACGTACACACATGCATAACATCAGTGAATATGATGCAAATTAATTTTAATGCAAGAAAAATGCGCTTCTCCAAGTGGGCATCTCTGGGGTTGATGCTGTCCTCATTTGTCATAGCATGACAACAGGCCTGCTTTTGACCTGCTGTACCCATCCCTCATCACATAATGGCCTCTTTAGTGTTCTTCATAATGTACATTAACTAACTGTATAAAAATGTATGGTTTTCTTGTCACGTCATACAAAATAGGAAATGAGAAACATGCTGAAAACAGAAAAATGTTGTCAAACCATTTGGCATACTTCAACAAATATTGTACCTTGTATAATTTTATCTTATGTGAATATATCATGAAACTGAGCCGCCATGCAGTGTTAATTCACATGTCCACACACAAACACTATATATATATATATGATATTATATAAAAGCAATATACATAATAACTTACATTAATTGCACAACTTGGAGTATTTTTTATTTTAATATTTTTTATTTATGAAATGAAAATAAATATTATAATTCCAGCACTTGAAAAATTTCTTCAGCATGAAACTGAGTTGTGCAATTAATATAAGATATTATATATATATATATATATATATATATATATATATATATATATATACACACACACACTATCTCTGATATTAAACTTTAAAGCACTCTTCCCTATATAAATATAGAAAATTTTTTAACTGTGTGTGTGTGTGTGTGTGTGTGAGTGAGTGAGTGAGAGAGAGAGAGAGATGAGAATCCGACGGAATAATAGTTTAAACTATTTTAAAGATTACTTTGCCATATTTCACCAATAAACACGACGTCATCATCGTGAAAAATTTCTTCTCTGAAAACGTTGGGTCATCTTCGAAACTAAGAATGAGTGAATGTGTGTGTGTTCGTGTGTGTGTAGCGTAATGGTTATCAGCGATGAAAACAGAATCTGCAAATTCTGTTTCTTTCACATTTTTACCGGATTTAAATATTTTTAATTGCTTCGAGAGATTTAAATTTACAGTGGAAAAATAGTGTTCAAAATTGAGAATGAATTTATTAAGTGTGTTGGGGTAGATTTTTTTTTTAATGATATTTTTTTACTGAATTTTTTCTTAAAAGAAAAAAAGAATAATCTTTACATAAATAATTAAATTATCGGATTTCAATAAAACTTTTAATTATCCGTTTATTAATGAATTTATTATAAAATTTATAATAAATTCATTAATAAACGGATAATTGAAAATTTTATTGAAATCCGATAATTAGCCAATATTTGATAGATTTTTTTAAATCTGGGTGTACTGTAGTGCGTAACAACATTATGTTATTTCTAAACGATTATTTAAAAATAAAAATATCTGGTTCTAATTGGACACAGTGTTTTTTGTTTTAAGAGTTTTCTTCTTTCGAAAAAAAAAAAAAAAAAAAAAAAAGAGATACAATAATTTAATTTAATTTTTCGATCATTTTTATCGACATATGTCAACTTGTTTTGGAAAACGCGCGACAGAAAACACTTGTTTCGACAACTTTAATCTGGCAAATTGAACAGTTTATGAAGTTTTGCCTGGCACAAGGGCATAATTGTGGCGTTCACAGCCGGTAGGAACGAACTCACGTCAGTTCGTATTGCTAGTCAGTATGTTATTGTTAACTATTTTTAACTAAATAACACACGGCAAGCTACCCAAAATATTTTGAGCTTAGTCTGGGATAAGGTAAGAAATATGGAGCACCCAGTGATTGAAGTTGTCAAAAAAAAAAAAAAAAAATGCATTGTTACTAATTAAAAAAGATACAATGTACTAGACAACAAAAATATAATCTTTTATTTCTTTTAAAATGTCTTAGAATAGTTTTGCAACTCTCTTAGAGAATTATTAAAAATATTGTTGCTAATGAGAAAAAAAAAGTTTAAAAAAGTCCCATTAAGTTTTTAAAAAATTGCAATATAACCTTCCTCGTGAAATTTTACCTTTTTATTGCATAATCTTTCTCCAGAGATTCTTTTTTTTATATTGCATCAGAAAACAGTTTTTCTCCGAAAAAAAAAAATAAATAAATAAATAAAAAATAAATAAATAAAAAAAAGTAAAGTGAAAAAAAAAGTTTGTTTTTGAATTTTTTTTAATTGATAAAAAAAAAACAAGAGAAAACTATTTTTAAGTAAAATTAGACTCGACAAGTCATTGTATTCTGGATACTTAAGGTCATCTTAGATTAGAATCTTCATCAAATATCGTTAATAAATTAAAAAAGAATCTTCTTTTACCGTGTCCCTTCAGGACGTAGGCGATCATGGCACTCGATTTCCTCCTGTCCTTTGTAGTTTTAAAGCATGAGGGGGGATTTCATTTTTGTTTTAATTTTCCCCCGCCCCACTAGAAACTAAAATGGTAAGTAATTAAATTACACACAAGTTTGGTGACAAAGCAACACTTGAGAGAGAACAAAAGAAAAAGTTAATTTGTGTTCTTAGAAAAAAAAAGACATTGAGAAAAGTTTGATATAATTTGAAAAATTGAGTATAAAAAAAAAGTTTAATTTATAAATTAAAAAGTTCTGACAGAAGTCTACCCTCCCCGAATACAGAAAATTGAGCAGTGTCGATAAAACAATTCCTTCATTTAATTATAAATATTCTGAAAGGAATTTTTTACAATTATCTTCATTTTGTACAAGGCCCAAGAGCCATTCGAGGTAAAAATTGTACTGCAAAAAGGTTCATGAATGCACTTGTGAAAAAAAAAAGTTACAAAATTTATTCAACTGAATTTGACGGTTTTAAACGGACACCGGCAAGATTACTTTAATACTACAGATAAGATTTTTAAATATTTATAATTTCAGTGTTTAGTTTTTAAATATTTATAATTTCGTGTTTAGTTTTTAAACTTTAAACTAAGAAGAAAGGAAAGCGAATAAACCTCACCTGTTTGCAACTTCTATATAAACAACTGCAGGGGCTGCCTTCTCTACAACATCAGCAATAAAATTATATTGAAATCGCTTTGAATTTCCCTCAATATTTTTGTTTTCATCAATCCTATTATTATTATTATTATCCACTGGTTCTTCGGCCTTGACTGCATGGAGGTGACCCGCCGTAAACCCCGCCGCTGCCAATGCAAATACGCCTACACCACCCAGAGTGGACAGCAATCGAATTCGACGATTCCAGACATATTTTGTAGGTTGAGTATATAAATTCATCGATGCATTGCCCGTCTTTGGAAACTGAGTTAAAAGCCATCTCCGACAAATGATCCTGCCCATCGCAGACGACAAACATGCGCGCATGGAGGTAGCCATGTTTATTTTTGATAAAATATACAATCTTAGTTTCGTATAAGAACGGTTGACTATTAATAACTTGATAAAAATATGGTTTTAAAAAAATAATTCTTATATTTATATTTATTTGTAGCAATTTAAAATGAAATCAAACGAGATATATTTTAATGAGAGCTAATAAATTTAGTTTCGTATCATAATTTAAAAGTAAAACTTATAGAAGTTGGCATTCAGTTCTTGTTACTATGGACCTGAATGCTGAAGACGACAATGATTTTACGCAACAAAACAAAAGTTTTCGTTTAAGTGAAGTTAATTTACCAAAAGGTCACGTTTTGATTAATTTACGATGGAAAAACTCAGAATTAGCTAACAAATTAGAAAGCAAACTGACTTTATTATATGATGACGAATTGAACGATGTGGATTTTCATCCGATGACCGGTGTTGGAGTCATTTATATTTCTGAGGCTGAAATGGTATCTCAAAGTAATTCGTACAAGAGAAAAATGGTCAGGCAGAGAAAACGTAACACGTTTAAAATAATTGTTATTGCTGAAAAGACTGCTATGAGTTCCCAATATTATTTCGGTATACAAACATTTTGTGTTCTTCAACTGGGTCTGGTTTTGCTGCCCGTTGCTAACCAGGTGGATGCAGCAGGGGTCCTTCTCCAACTCGCCTTTGCTGGCACCAGACCAGAAAGGAACCCTTTCAAAAGGTTGAAACAAGAGCCACCGAAAAAAGGTGATGCCGATTTACAAAAAGCTATGTTGGCCACTCTGCAATCAATTCCGGGATTAGGTTCAATGAGTGCAAAACTGTTAATATTAAATTTTGGATCTTTATTGGAAATCGCAAATGCTTCTCCAGAGACACTCTCTCAACTTGTGGGAAAGAGTACAGCCTTACGAATGCACAACTTTTTAAATTCATGAAAAAAAAAAAAAGGTTTCTCACTTGTTGCATTCCATTTTTACAGAAAAAATGATTTTAAAGAAATATCATTCTTATTAATTTCATATTTAAAAATTCTGCATGAAAACGTGATGACTTTGGATACTTGTTTTGCTTGTAGTTTTTTTGAATTTCTTAATTATTTGACCACCCCTTTTTTACTTATTTATATTCTCACATATTACCCATAAAAATGACAATTATTTAGACATTGATAAAATTAGACAGATTTATTTATTGTAAATAAGTTATTGGAATTATTTTTTGAAGTCAACATTACTTGTAAAAGAAGCATGACTGCACAAATTTACCCTGACCTTCATAATTTGTACTTTGAAATTAGATTTAATTTTTTTGTAAATTTTCAGTGTTCTTTAAACACTTTTAAATTTATAAACTTTTCTTTTAAGAATGGTTCAGAGCTTTTTTTATTTCTTTGAGAATGATTCAGATTTTTTCTTTTCATTAAGATTGGTTCAAAGCTCCTTTTTTAAAGAATGGTTCAGAGCTTTTTTTTTTTAAAAAATGGTTAAGATCTGATTGATTCTCATCTCCTTTAAGAGTGCTTGAATTGTTGTTAATGAAAAAAAAGTTTTATAAAAGAAAAGAGTGAAAAACTTCCATCACTCCAGATAGAATTTAAATTGAAATAACCTTTCTTGTGAAATGTCACTTTTTTATTTATTAATTGATTCTTTTTGTTGTCAGAATTTTTTTTTAAACAAGTTTAACAATTTAAAAAATTTTAATTTATGCATTTTGAAATAAAACAGGAAATGTTGACTTTATTTGATTGTTACAGTTTGAGCAAAGTCTTATTGACGTGGTTTAACTTATTGTTACATTATAAGTTTTATAATAAAACTTAAAAAACAAGTGTTAAATTTAGTTTTCATTGTCTTAAAAATGAGTTTAAAGCATCAATATTATTTGCAAAAAAGAAATAAATATTGTTAGATCATTAAAATAATTACAATAAAAAACAAGGTTTCGAATGCAAACAAACAAAAACACCCACGTTAGACTTCAAAAACAAACTAAAAAAAAAAGAAATTCAAGTTATGCAGAAGACATGGGAAAATTTATGTTCAAATTCTCCCTGGAAACTAGAAAAATGTTCCAAACAAGAAAACGCTGAGAATTTAAAATTATTTTTTTTAAAAATTTTTCAGCATCCCCTCTCCTCAGTAGAGTGCAGAAGGGCAGCAGAGGATGCACCCCTCCCACCACCACAATCATCAATATCAGGAGAGAATCAAATCAAAGAGTGAAATAAAAATTTAGTTTTTGAAATTGTCTCTTTTGAATTTTTGTACATGGGTCCTTCAGTCCCACAAGCTGGGGTGAATGTGGCTTCGTCTTTTGATAAGCGAGACCCAATTAGCACTACCCCACTACTTAAGCCTTCGGACGATACAATCAAGGTGTTGCCCCCAGACATCACCAAACCTCTGTAAATCACTACCTGTCATTCATAAATGTGTTGTCATATCAGCATAAATACCACTTTAGTCTGAAATCATAAAGGATGAAACATGTCACACAAAAACATTTTTCACTTTATCATAAAATTGTTTTTGATGTATAAAAATCATGTATTGTTTTTGCCACATATACGTGTGTGTGTATATATATATATATATTATAAGTTACTAGCAGTAGAGCCCCGCGTTGCCCGGGGATGTAACAGTAAGAGATAGATCAAGTATTGACCATCATAAAGACTGAAAAATAAAATTGACAAAGATTATTGTTTAAGGTTGACGGACACGCATGTCTTAATTAGTTTTATTGTTTTGTTTTTTTTTGTTTTTTTTACGAATTGGTCAAACTCAAACAAAAATATTGTTATCAATCGTTATGAGTCTACCGATTGAATAGAATTTTATTATAAACAATTGTCTTGTAAATGGAATTTTTAAAGCATTCTGAATGTAAAACTAAAGAAAAAAGTGTGCAAGACAATAAGAAACACTACCTGCCAAAAAAAAGTGAAGTTTTGTTGAAATCGGTTGAAAAATGTAGGAAATCCGATCCCATATCTAAACGAACACACACACACAAACAACCAACCTGTGTTTTATAATAAGTATAGCTCGATAACTCGATATTAATAAGTATAACTCGATATGAGTTGTCCCCCTTTCATTAATGCCTCTTAATCGTGTTTTCAAATTGATTTTGTGTAAAAACAATTGTGTTTTTCCAATTTTTGGCACTGTCAGAACCACCGCAAGGTAATTTTACATAGTCCTGTAAAGTTTTGTTGAAATCGGTTGAAAAATGTAGGAAATCCGATCCAATATATAAACGTACAGACACACACACACACACAACCTGTGTTTTATAATAAAAATTTTTATATAAAAATTCAATATAATTCTTTAAATTAAATTGAGTTAAAGTAAGCACTGTTCCATCATCAAGCAAAATTTTTTTTGGAATAACGTATTTCTGAAAAATTTCAGAAATATGTTATTCCAAAAAAAATTTCGCTTGAAGATGGAACAGAGCTTACTTTCGCTTGAAGATGGAACAGAGCTTACTTTAACTCAATTTAATTCAAATAATTATATTGAATTTTTCGCTCTTGTTTTGAAACATGAGACCTCTTATGTCATGAGTTGGAATCATATATTTAAATAAATAATTATATATATATATATATATATATATATATATATATATATATATATATATGGGGCTTATTTTCTGGGAAAAACAGAATGGCTAATTAAAATGAAAATCATGATTTTGAAATATAAATTCTTTTTCTAACAATTACATTTGCCAACTGCCATTTTTATTTGTTACTATGTTTGCCTTTCCTAACTCACTCATCTGACAGACATCAAAGGATTAAGTCGGTAATGTTTTAATATACATGTCCTTTACCTACTGCCTCCTTACAGTTTACAGTGTTAAGGAACCAAGTTTTATGAAGTTTGCATGATTTTACAGGGAGGGGGGCAAAATGAAAATTTTGTCTTTTTGTTTTATCCTTTCTTTTTCCAATCACATGTGATGATGGCGGTGGGGGTGCAATTTGTCATTTCAGAAAGCCAAATTTTCCGAAATAAACTTTTCCAAAAATGTTAATTTTATTTTATTAATAGTATTTATATAGTGTTACACTTTTTCACTTAGTATTATAATGGAGAAAAAACAGAATTCTATTCTGAAAACGGAGAAAATGAAAGAAAATGGAATTTCTTAAAACCTGAAGTGGAATTACAGAAAATTTGAGACAGAAAATCAGTCCCTCTCTCTTTATATATATATATATATATATATATATATATATAAAGGTATTTTGCATATTCCTTAATATATTAAATAGCTCTGTTATTTAACATTAAGCACTGTTTTTTTTCTTACACTACGTATTTGTATATGTTCGCTCACTGGTACATCTACCTATATTTACCCATTCGGTTATATATATATATATATATATATATATATATATATAGTTGTAACCTCAGTCTGTTTGTTATCAAACTCCTAGGGCTTTGGAGATATACTCCGCCCCATACTGTATATATTCTGAAACTACATTACCCATGGTACTTGGATAAGTATATTTCATTTTGATCAAAGGGTATACCCAGGAGGAGGGGTTCAGAACCACGAACACTGAAAATTTTTTTCCCTTTGATTTAAATTTAAATTTGAACAAGGAAATGACTCCTATCAAATATAGGAGAAAGCTAGAAGATGGAGGTCACATCAGCAAGCTCATTGAGTAATATTGAAATGCATCCTTTTTCTCCACAAATTATAATAATGATTTGAAATTAATCTTCATTTTTTTTTACAAAAAAAATGTGACACACAACAAGGCACAGGTAATTCGGCTAGTATATATATATATATATATATATATATATATATATATATATATATGAATGATAAGATAAATAGAAATGCCTTTCCTAAGGGCAATACTGCAAACTGAACATAACAGCTTCCATTGGAATTTGAAATCTCATGATTCACTTTTTCAAGACAATAATTATTATGCCACCAGTACATCGACTG